GGAGGGCGGGAGGGGAAGCTCCCTAATTAATGGCTGGCAAAATGGATTTGAAAGCGGCACCGTCTTCTTTTTGCAAGCCCTCCTTCGTGAAAAATAAAAACTAAAATCACGTCCATCTGCGGTTCTAATCTCAGCTGAGTTGATTCAGAAAAAATGGGAGCGGGTTTTTTCCCCCCCACTGGGGTCTTTCTCCTCTTCAGCTCGGTTGGCGAAGGATTGGAGGAGGAGGGCGCTAGAAACGGGGGCCCTGCACCCATATTTGTCCCCCTCTGACAGGTGGCATCGCACCCTCTTTGCGGACGCTGCCCCTGGCCTGGCTGAGCCGGGTCTGGAGGGCTAATTTCCCCCCTCGAATTCAGCCCCCCCTGCGCTCCGCAATGCCATGTGACCCTTTGGCATCGCCCGAACCTTCTCCTTACTGTGGCTGCCCCCAAAGATGCCCCTTCCCAATAAAGGCAGAGGGCATGGCACAATGCCACCCTGTAAGCCAAGCCAATTTGGGCAGAACGAAGCCACTCGCCCCCCTCTCTCTCGTCCCTCCTGCCCATCTTCCACTCCTGCCCACCCACCCCCTTGGACACAGCAGTCGCCGTTGAGGATTATGGGAGCCGGGATCCCCATCCGAGAGAGGGAACCGGTTGAGAGTCCGGCTGTGCTGGTTTCATCTCTTTTCTCTGTCCCCTGGCAGGATCACGTTCAGAGCGGAAGGGCTGTCCATGTGGTGCTGGGCAACGAAGCCTGCGATCTCGACTCCACGGTCTCCGCTCTGGTCCTCGCCTACTTTTTGGCAAAGGTCAGCCTTTCGTTGTGCCGCGCCGGGCTCTGATCTCGCCAGGGCCTGCTGCTACCCACCCCCCACCTCCCCCGGCTGCCCCCTGCCTCATTTGCTTACGCATCTCCTGCGTCCCCCCTTCCCGTGGCCCTCCGGGGCACCCCAGCACGGCCCCTTCCTCTGAATCCCATGTCACCGAATTAAAATGGGGTGCAGGTCGGGGGTCTCTCTGCAGGACGCACACCAGAGGGGGGGGGGAGGCCCAAGGGGGAAACAGAGACCTGCCCCTCCCCCCCCCCCCCCCTTTCCAGGAACACCCCGGACATTTGGGGCGTTTTTAAAGCAATATATTTGTCTGCCACCTCATGGTCAACATTTTTTAAACGCTAAAATCACAATTACACTTGTACAACTTTCCGTTATCTATCTATCTATCTATCTATCTATCTATCTATCTATCTATCTATCTATCTATCTATCTANAATAAAAAGCCTTTCAAACTGTAACTTCTCTGCAAGCTTTTAAAAAGGGCTTGGAATCACCCCAGGCTTTTAGACATGCAGGAGACTCAGGTTTTAATGGAGGGGGGAAAAAAGGAGGTTTTTGTAAAATGGGTAGAATGGCAGAATGCCCAGTTTGGAGAAAAGGAATTGGTGGTGGTGGTGGTGGGGGAGAACCAGGCATGGTATAAAAGATTTCAGTGTTTTCCCCGTTGCAAAAAGTTTTCTTCCTGGCCCAACCTTGGGAAGCTGGCATGGGAGTCTGTATGCCTTCCTTTTTTGGGCAACTTTGCCCCCCAACGGCCTCCTTCATCCAGTCACCCACCCCGCCCTGAATTCACCAGCTCCCCGGTGCCGGCACTGAGTCATCCTTGGGTGACGGCAAAAGAGACGCCTTCTCCAACTTCCCTTTTTTTGTGTGCCAAAGCACGAAAACGCCCTCTTGGAGCTCAGGGCGGGTGTGGAGGGAAACAGCCTCTGCCTGCCTCGCTTTGCGTCCGTCGTTATCGGGAAGCTCTCTGGACCAGGTGGGTGCTAGGGGTTAGACTGGGCAGAGGGGGCCAGGGAAGAGCCTCTGTCTTTGGCTGGTTAAATCTTGAGTTGTGAAGGGTTTGGTAAAAATGGAGCAGTGGGGGAGGAGAAACTTGGGGCATAATTCGCTCTGATGTCTCACTTCTCCACAAGGGTGGGTTTATTTCAGAGGATTCCCTGGGAAAAATACGGCTTTTCCAGCACGAGAGAACCTCCACGTTTAGGAGCAGTCTAGCTTTAAACCCGTTCCTTGGGCGCGGGAGAAGGCGTTGGATGGTTTGCGGACTCTCTTAAGAGGTCCCCGTTTGATCAGTCGGGACTCTGGATCCTCCCGGAGCGTCTTTCCTTCCAGGGTGGAGCTTCCAGCTCCAGAGCCAGTCTACCCTTTGCATAACCAGCTGTTGAGGATGACTAGGTTTGGTTTCAATAGAAGAGGGTGTTTGTTTGGCTCGGGATTGAAATGGGAACTCCCTGGTGCTCTCCGAACATGGCGGTTTTCTTGAGGACATTTCATCACCCAGCTTGGTAACGTCATCAGGGTTAGAAAGGAATGGGGCTTGCAGAGTGGAGGAAGAGGAGAAGGGCTGTGGGATCCCTGGTGCTCTCTGAACTTGGTTGTCTTCTTCCAGACGTCTCATGACCAAACTAGTTAACGTCATCACTCCGCTGGTTTCCAAGCGGTGCCGAAATCCGGAGAGCTTCTGACGGTTCGTGTCTGCCTTTTCCCCAGGTCTGCCAAGCCTTGGAGCGCTGTAGCAACCCGTCCCTCGGCCTGTCGCAGCTAGAGACCCCCTGCCCCACCGTCCGGGCCTACCAACAGGGCAACTCCGGTGCCTCCCGCAAGAAACTCCTTCCCATCGTCCGGGAATTCCTGCGCCAGTGGGAGGGACCCCGTCCCAGCAGCCCCAGAATGCAGCCGGAGCTCTCCCGTTGTGTCCCGCCCACCAGGGGGGACGCCGGTAGCCGCGATCCCAGCGGAGGCGCCAAGGATGCCCCGAAGCCCCCCCGCCCGGGCGAGGAGGCGGCTGAAGAAGACACCCTGTTGCCCCCCACCCCCATGAACAGCCTGGTGGACGAGTGTCCCCTCCACCGGGGTCTCCCCGAAGTCTCGCCCGAGGCCATCTTCGAGAGGGTCAATCGCATCGCCACCGATCGCTCCTTGGGCGGCCGCAGCCCGGAGAAGAAGTGAAACCCCCCCCAAAAAAATACAGAGGGACTCTCGGCCAGGAGGGAGGGGGGGGTCACTGGGGGCTGAAAACGCCGTTTTTTGAATTAACTGGACACCCTCTATGATTAATCTCCCTGGCAATGAATGGAAAGGAAGGGTGGGGGTATTCATGGCCAATAATGGGGAGGGGGGGTTGAGATTAAACTGAACCATCTGTTGCAAAGTTGCAGAATTCTGATTCTGGGGGGGGGCGGTGGGGGGGGGGAATGTCACGTGTCTTTCCAGCACCCCAAATCTTTTTTTTTTCCTGGCAAATTCATCCGTCCAAACGGCCCCCCCAATGGGTTTGCGTGGAACACGATATAAAGGCTCTTGAGAAATGTTTTTCTTGGTGCTTGTTGAAGAGGGAAACGTAGCTCAGGTGCTGTTGGGGCAACGGGGATGACACCTGCTCGGTCCCCACCTCAACATGTCCCCCAGAGCTGCAATTTTTAAAATTATTGTTTGCAAAAACGAAGCAGAAAAAAACCTCAAGAGTGTACAAAAATTTCACGAAGCACCCCTGTGCTTGCACAAAATGTAAAAAAAACGTTATTTTGCAGCTATGTGTGTTTTTGGCTCGGCTGAGTCCTATAAAATGGGGGGGTGTCTCCAAATTTGGCAACTTTTAAGACTTGGGGACTTCAGCTCCCAGAATTACCCATTGCAAACATTTCATGACCCAACTAGCTAACATCATCAGTTGCTAGAAGGGAGAGGAGTTTTGCAAAGCAGAGGAGGAGGAGGGGGAAGAGGGGGGCTAAGGGGTCTTTAATGCTTTCTGAACTTGGCTGTTTTCTTGCAGACTTCTCATGACCAAACTAGGTAACACCATCAGTGCACTGGTTTCCAATCCGTGCTGAAAGATTTCCATCCTCACAGGGCGCAAAGGGGTGGGGGGAGGCAGGGAATGTGGGTCTGGATGGCTGCAGAATTTCGGGGGGGTTGAAGTCCCCAAGTCTTCCAAATTTGGGGAGCCATTCTGTACCCCAAGAC